TGGAAGTTGAAATCTATACATCCAATCTTCCACCTAAGGTAACAAAAACAAGACAAGCTGAATAAAATAATAGCATATTTATTGACAAATTGTTTAGCACAATGTACATTCAACCACTGAAATGGTAATTGTTATACAAATCATAACATGTGACTACTCATATTCAAAAGTACATTGCATATTGTATGCATCAAATCTGAAAAATTAAACAGCTTACATGGCAATAACAATCCTTTAACTCCCATGAATGACCAAGACAGAATTTCTCCTAACAATATTAATACAATATCAAGCAGACAGGAGATGAGAATATGGAAAAACATTAATTACAGGATTATTAGTTGATTGAATACCAAATTCTCCAAACTAACATCACTAAAACTATATGGCAGACAGTAGGGAGAATTTCTAATAAGATCTTGGGAGTTAAAGGGTGAAGGTTCCTCACCAATGTCTCAAATGCTAGTTGCTTATATTTGCTCATACAAGTCAGACTTAATTTATCAATTAGTTCTGATTTCTTAGTCTTTGCAATTGTACTTGCCATATAACCAAAGCTATAAACATCTGAAGTTGACCAAGGGACGTACAGATCATACAAAGCAGGATCAATGTGTTTATGTCATGTTTTGAGTCCAGCTCTTTCTGATCCAGAAGGAATTACTTCTACCTTGGTTTTCCTAACTTCACATGCTTCATTGAAGTCTATTATTTTGGCTGCCAATCACCCCTATTCACCTCTGAAATCAATACATTATCTCCTTTTTGTCATTGTGGACAATCCTTACTCCATGAAGATAAAAGAATCCCAACTACATTGCATTAAAATGCCTAACCATGATTTTTTAACACATACACTCTCTGACTAAAGAGCTCTAAAAATGGTAAATGAATGTTTGATCCCTTCCTTAACCCTTTAACTCCCATGAGTGACCAAGACAAAATTTCTCCTTACAATACAAATACAATATCAACCAGATTGGTGATGAGAATAAAGAAAAATATCAATTTGGGGATAATTAGTTGATCAAATACTAAATTCTCTGAATTACCATTCTAAGAATTGTATGGTTGACAGTAAGGAGAATTACAAATTTGATGTTGGAGGTAAAGGGTTAATTCCACAAACCTCTCATACAAGCAGTTAAGTAGTTCTCTAAAAACTACACCAAAGGAAGGGAAATGCTTTGTGAGAAATGTGTGATAAAACACAAGCTTCCTCAGCAACAGTTTCTTTAGTAGTTGATTCACCATAGTACTTGACTGCACTGGAAAAGACATACATGTAAACTTGCAAACACCAAACCTTCCCAGGCCTAACACAACTTTGTTTCTGTGGCTATCCCCTACAACTGAAAGTTGCTAATAGCTCATTTCGTTCACTTATACATTTAACTTGCTTCAATGAGAAATCCCTCAAAGTTTGATATCTATGATTAATCATTTTGAAAAATATATTTCAAGCATTGCTCCTACATGTGCTGTAAAATGATCAATTGATGCTTAAAAGTGAGGATTCCTTAGCAAAAAAGCTTAGCACCTCTGGCAGATACCTTTGTCACAGTATTGTAGAGCAAAGAATAAATAATATTATGTTTCAAGCATTGCACCTACACGTGCTGTAAAATAATCAATCAATGCCTAACAGTGAGGTTTGCTTGGCAAAATAGCCTTGCATGTCTGGCATATACCTTGATCACAGTATTTTAGAGCAAAAAGAAAAATATGTTTCAGGCAATTTGCACCAACCTGTGCTGCAAAAATTATCAATCAATGCCTAACAGTAAGGATTGCTTAGCAAAAAAGCTTAGCACCTCTGGTGTACACCTTGATGACAGTATTTTAGATAAAAGAAAAAAAACTATTTCAATCATTGCATCTACATGTGCTGTAAAATAATCAATCAATCAATGCCTAACAGTGAGGATTCTTTGGCAAAATAGCTTAGCACCTCTGGCATATACCTTTATCACAGCATTGTAGAGCATAGAAAAAAACATGTTTTAAGCATTGCACCTACACTGTACATGTGCTGTTAAATCATGATAAATCAATGTCTAACAGTGAGGATTCCTTAACAAAAAAGCTTTGCACCCCTGGCATATACCTTGATCACAGTATTGTAGAGCAAAGAAAAAAATTTTCAAGCATTGCACCTACATGTGCTGTAAAATGATAAATCATTGCCTAACAGTGAGGATTCCTCAGTAAAAAAGCTTTGCACCTCTGGCATATACCTTGATCACTGTATTTTAGAGCAAGGAAAATGTGAAATTGATAATTTGAGAAAGAACTGATCAGTCAATGAAAGAATCAATCTATGCCTGAAAGCAAGGATTCCTAAGTAAAAAAAAAAAATTCACCCCCAGCTGACATATTACCTTGAACACTGCATTGTTCAGCAGGAAAATACAAGAAATTCATCATTTAAAGCATTGCACCTAAATGTCTGTAAAATGACCAATCAATGCTTTACTTCTATAGCTCGCTGATCCTAGCAGTATGCAAAATGTGTCTTAAATGAACTTTGTAATGGGTCTTGCTCACCATAGAGTCTCTGTGGCTCAATCAGTGGTGAGCATCGGGGCATGAAATCCCTGGATTCAATTCCACTTGGTCACACAGAATTTTTTTCTATGTTCCAAGCTCATCACAAACCGAAAAATAAAACTTTCAGCAAAGTATGACCTTGGCCAATACCCATTAGGGCCTGTTCTAGGAAAGACAATATGGCTTTGCTGTCTTTATAAACCACATATTGAATATATAAAATGATGACAGCAAAGCCACAATTCTATTTACAATGCTTTGTTGTGGTTTGCTGCATAGAATAATGCCCTCATAGATGATAATTAGTTTATCAAAATCAAATTGTTCACCAATGGCCACAATTTGAGGCTGAAAGCACTTCAACAATTCATCATCACTTGAAGCTGTTCTCTGTAAAAAGAAAAAATAATAAAAATGAAAAAAATGAGTCACCCAACCCCATAAAAATGAGAAAAACAAAGTCTCAAAAGAAGAAAGTTGTAACTAAAAGGTTGCTGAGTGATCAACTAGACTAATTTGGAATTAAACCCTTATATCCAAAAAGATATGCTCCCCTTGGCTATCAATGACCAAAACAAACAATTCAAAATTATTTTTACAACTGTATACATTGGCAAGTTCATGATCAATAGGTATTTTTGTTTTGAAACTTGCGGCCAAGAAAAGTGTGTGAAAACACAGCTAGGCATTAAAAGTGAAGCTACATGCAGTCAATAGCATGTTTTTATTTGATGCAAAAACTGATTTCACAGCCATTTCTGTTTGTTTGTTTGTTTGTTTGTTCTTTTTCTATTTTCAATAATCTGCTCTAAAATTAAAAGAGCCTCTGGTCTCTTTTGGTAGAAGACAGTTACTGGTAGGATTGTAAACACTTCTTATTGAGAGCCCTTTCCTTTTTGCTGTAGTATCTTCATTTGGTAATTAAAACCAGTACAATTTGATCTTTAATTTCTGGTACAAAAAGATTATTCAATGTATGAACATCAAATAAAAAATTATATGGCCAATTCAACACTTTTAACACACATATGACGAGATTTGTTGACTTCCAATAGGACACCCCACCTAAAATGACCTCTGGAAACCCCAAAAGTCTGTAAATAATGCATCCACAACACCCACTTGTTTTAAGTTTAATAATGGCTACACAGTAGCCCAGAGCAGCCAAACAATTAAATGAGTAAGGTTTTACTTGCTATTTTAAATATCCTTCCTTAATATTAAAAATTTTACATAATATGGTTTTATACTCACATGTGCTGGAAGTTGAAATCTATACATCCAATCTTCCACCTAAGGTAACAGAAACAAGACAAGCTGAATAAAATAATAGCATATTTATTGACAAATTGTTTAGCACAATGGTACATTCAACCACTGAAATGGTAATTGTTATACAAATCATAACATGTGACTACCCATATTCAAAAGTACATTGCATATTGTATGCATCAAATCTGAAAAATTAAACAGCTTACAATCAATAACAATCATTTAACTCCCATGAATGACCAAGACAGAATTTCTCCTTACAATATTAATACAATGTCAAGCAGACAAGAGATGAGAATATGGAAAAACATTAATTACAGGATTATTAGTTGATTGAATACCAAATTCTCCAAACTAACATCACTAAAACTATATGGCAGACAGTAAGGAGAATTACTAATAAGTTCTTGGGAGTTAAAGGGTGAAGGTCCATCACCAATGTCTCAAATGCTGGTTGCTTATATTTGCTCATACAAGTCAGACTTAATTTATCAATTGGTTCTGATTTCTTAGTCTTTGCAATTGTACTTGCCATATAACCAAAGCTATAAACATCTGAAGTTGACCAAGGGACGTACAGACCATCACACAAAGCAGGATCAATGTGTTTATGTCATGTTTTGAGTCCAGCTCTTTCTGATCCAGAAGGAATTACTTCTACCTTGGTTTTCCTAACTTCACATGCTTCATTGAAGTCTATTATTTTGGCTGCCAATCACCCCTATTCACCTCTGAAATCAATACATTATCTCCTTTTTGTCATTGTGGACAATCCCTACTCCATGAAGATAAAAGAATCCCAACTACATTGCATTAAAATGCCTAACCATGATTTTTTAACACACACTCTCTGACTAAAGAGCTTTAAAAATGGTAAATGAATGTTTGATCCCTTCCTTAACCCTTTAACTCCCATGAGTGACCAAGACAAAATTTCTCCTTACAATACAAATACAATATCAACCAGATAGGTAATGAGAATAAAGAAAAATATCAATTTGGGGATAATTAGTTGATCAAATACTAAATTCTCTGAATTACCATTCTAAGAATTGTATGGTTGACAGTAAGGAGAATTACAAATTTGATGTTGGAGGTAAAGGGTTAATTCCACAAACCTCTCATACAAGCAGTTAAGTAGTTCTCTAAAAACTACACCAAAGGAAGGGAAATGCTTTGTGAGAAATGTGTGATAAAATACAAGCTTCCTCAGCAACAGTTTCTTTAGTAGTTGATTCACTATTAATAGTACTTGACTGCACTGGAAAGACATACATGTAAACTTGCAAACACTAAACCTTCCCAGGCCTAACACAACTTTGTTTCTGTGGCTATCCCCTACAACTGAAAGTTTCTATTAGCTCATTTCGTTCACTTACACATTTAACTTGCTTCAATGAGACATGAAATCCCTCAAAGTTTGATATCTATGATTAATCATTTTGAAAAATATATTTCAAGCATTGCACCTACATGTGCTGTAAAATGATCAATTGATGCCTAAAAGTGAGGAATCCTTAGCAAATTAAAAAAAGCTCAGCACCTCTGGCAGATACCTTTGTCAAAGTATTGTAGAGCAAATAAAAATATTATGTTTCAAGCATTGCACCTACATGTGCTGTAAAATAATCAATCAATGCCTAACAGTGAGGATTCCTTGTCAAAATGGCCTTGCATGTCTGGCATATACCTTGATCACAGTATTGTAGAGCAAAAAGAAAAATATGTTTCAGGCAATTTGCACCAACCTGTGCTGTAAACATTATCAATCAATGCCTAACAGTGAGGATTGCTTAGCAAAAAAGCTTAGCACCTCTGGTGTACACCTTGATGACAGTATTTTAGATAAAAGAAAAAAACTATTTCAATCATTGCACCTACATGTGCTGTAAAATAATCAATCAATCAATGCCTAACAGTGAGGATTCTTTAGCAAAATAGCTTAGCACCTCTGGCATATACCTTTATCACAGCATTGTAGAGCATAGAAAAAAACATGTTTTAAGCATTGCACCTACACTGTACATGTGCTGTAAAATGATCAATCAATGTCTAACAGTGAGGATTCCTTAACAAAAAAGCTTTGCAAAGAAAAAATTTTTCAAGCATTGCACCTACATGTGCTGTAAAATGATAAATCATTGCCTAACAGTGAGGATTCCTCAGCAAAAAGGCTTTGCACCTCTGGCATATACCTTGATCACTGTATTTTAGAGCAAGGAAAATGTGAAATTGATAATTTGAGAAAGAACTGATCAGTCAATGAAAGAATCAATCTATGCCTGAAAGCAAGGATTCCTAAGTAAAAAAAAAAAATTCACCCCCAGCTGACATATTACCTTGAACACAGCATTGTTCAGCAGGAAAATACAAGAAATTCATCATTTAAAGCATTGCACCTAAATGTCTGTAAAATGACCAATCAATGCTTTACTTCTATAGCTCGCTGATCCTAGCAGTATGCAAAATGTGTCTTAAATGAACTTTGTAATGGGTCTTGCTCACCATAGAGTCTCTGTGGCTTGATCAGTGGTGAGCATCGGGGCATGAAATCCCTAGGTTCAATTCCACTTTGGCAAACAAAATTTTTTCTTTGTTCCAAGCTCATCACAAACCGAAAAAAAAAACTTTCTCTTTTTCTTACCGCGCTCAAAACTGACCATCTTTCTTATTCTAATTAGCATGTTTATCTAACAATGGTCAAGGGGGGGAGGGAGGGGATCTCATGAAGAGATACAAGTAATTGACTGAATTTTATTTTACAACTCAATTCCACTTCCTAGAATTTAAATTCCATTCTGTGGGAGTATAGAGATTGGTTATCACTACAAGATATAAAAAGGCACAAACCTTTTTTGAACTTTTAGGTGTTTCTTTAATGCTTCCGTTCTCCTTGCTTGTTGGTGTACAGGAACTTGGGCTTATAGATACTTTCTCCAAATCTCCGCCGCTTGCAAATTCCACGTCTACATCTGCTTCATCTTCATCCTATAAAAAAGCTACAAAAGATTAATCCAACTCCAAATATTGGTAAGTGATTTATTGATCTGTGTTAGTCTTGGTCTGCAGTTGGCCTTTTGCGATGCACAAACATTGAACTTAAAAATGTGCGTGCCTTATAAAGGATTAATTAAACCAATTTATGACTATAAATTAAATGCATTAAGTGCGGATATCACGTGTTTATGAGTATGGATTCTTGTGCATACTTGCTAAAGATCAGCAAATTTTTCCTCATAGCTTACCATTAATACACAGGCAGAACCACGAGCGTGGGTTCATTTCTTCGACAAGTTACGGTTGGGTCCGGAATTCAAATGATTGGAATGGCTCACCTGAAGTAAATGTGCAAGCATGAAATTGTTTTTAAATAACAAGATTGGCTATGAGGCTTAGTTCATAAAAAGAAAATCATAAAGGTCATAACAAGAAAATCTTTGTAGTAAATATGTAATGTAAGCTGATTTCTGTTAAGTTAAATCAGGATAAACCACACAGCGATGCAAAGTCCCTTTCAGAAAGCAAGCAGCGCAAACGATCCACACGAGGGAATCGGGTGTCCACAATTTGACTCTCCTTCGTAGAAAAATCATTGTCATTAGCGAAATGCACAGTATGATATTCGCAATAAACTATCTGTTAAATCTTTCCGCGACGCGGTTTAAACAGCATGGTAGGACAACATGGAGTCACTTTGAAGATTTTTCGTGTAGGCTGTATTATTCTGTCACCATAGAGCCATTCTGCGAAACGCTTATGTAAGACACATCGTTGTGTAACAGTAGCTACAACTTTGTAGAGTGGGTACCACTATCTATACCGTCTACAGTAGGTACAACTAGCTACACTGTCTACAGCAGGTACAACTACTTACACTGTCTACAATAGGTTCAACTAGCTACACTGTCTACAACTTGTTAATCACATTGTCCATCCATGGAGTCTGGTTGCACTCCAACTGAATTTTGCATAGCACTCCATCTCCATTTTGCATGATTATTTTTCTTTAAGTTAGTGATCTTCTCGTGCACACAGGGTGAGAATTATGTCATCATTTATTTTATTGTTTATTATTTAAATGGATGAAGTTTGTAAACCTAGAATATGCAGTAGGAGATGACAGCCTTTCAATATATCTAACGTTTTTTCTCCTGACTTTTTATAGGTGGTCTTCGTGGCAAGTGTTTTGTTGACGTTTTTCCGAAAACTTGTGCACCACCGTGTCCCTGATTGATAATAAGCCTTACTTTTTCCAGTCTCGTGGTAATGGGTGTATCACTCTGAGTGGAAAAAGGCGAAGTTAGTGGGCACGATCAGATGTTGGTCCTTTTTCGTAACTGCTGATAATGAAATTCACACACAACATTTCCTCCTTTTACCATTTCAGTGTTTAAGGCATTTTATTCTTCCTTTACGAGCAGAGCTATGGCGTGTTTTTTCTCTCAGACAACAAACCTTTTTCGCCGGGTGGTTTGCTGAAGAAACGACACAAACAAGTGCCATAACAATAACACGGGCTTACGAAGTTCGTAGCCATGTTAAGAATGCTCAACTTCAATACTAAAATTGACACCTGTGGCCAATTTTTTTTTTTTTTTGGGAAAGATATGTTGCAGAGCAGGTTCGAAAGAAACTTTCTTGAAAATGGGAACCCTATCTGTTGATGCTAAGGCCTATCCCCGCGAAATAAAAACAAACAATATGAAATTTAACAATGCCGCCACATCGCCGCTATAGCGTTGCTATGGAAATACCGATATTCCTATTTCTTTCTGCTTGTAAATTTTCGCGCGCGTTAAAAGCATGCGCACTCATTTTGCCGCTGTGTCGCTTCCCGCCTAAAATGTCTGACATGCGCGCTTAAGGATGAGCTCTCAAAGATCTCTGGAATTAACCAATGTGTAACCAGGCCAGGAAACTATTACCAGGCTTTCTTCCACTGGCGGGAAAAAGTTACATGGAACAAATATACTTACCTCGATTTCCTCTGTGGACATTTTTATAAGGTTCTTGAATCTTGTTCTTTCTTTTAAATCCGGAAAATAAAAGCGACATTTACTGACATTCAAACAAATTGTAACCAAATCACTGCAGTCAAGATAATCAGCTACAAAAGGTGCAAGAGAAAAATTGGTGAATTTAATCAGGAGCACGTGGGCCGTAACTCCGCCGCTTTTGCAAATACGATTGGAGTATGTCTACTCAAGTACCAGGAGATCGAGGTAAGTGAACAATATTGACCAATAAGAGGCTTACAACTACAATTATATCAATTTTTATTGGAAAACCTAGCGTTGCTGTGTGTCATTTTCAATTTCCGGCAATTATATTTTGAAAGGACTATTCAACAATGCAAAACTGATTGACCACCTAATTAGTGTATTTAATGAGTTAGCCTTGCACTTCTAGTATATGGTGTCAGCGTAAAGTGCAACCTTGGATTAAGATCATCGTATAGTGGATTTCCCTAAATTTAAAGGGGCACATCGGACCTGCGAAGCAAATCTTTGAGTAGGTGGGGCTAGAGACGAACCCGTAAACTTCAGCCAACAAGGGAAAGGGGGTGTCGAGTGAGGCATACCAGGAAAGTTTGGATTTGTCTCCTTGGAAATGTGCAGAAGTATGAAAATATACGTATGTTGATATTTGGGTCGATTTCTAGGTCGAGCTTTGTTTACAAGAGAACTGTAATAAATAGAAACCAGACAAGTTTGTGATTTATTGTCAAAAATTAAATCTTAAATGATTAGTCATTAACGCTTTTAATTCGTTGAGTTCTCGCAAAGGCGAGGGCAGGATAAAAATCGTAAAAAATCGTAAGCAAATCAACGAAAAGAAGAGGAGGGTAAAATTTGCCGAGAGTGTCAGGTCTGAAGACAAATAGGACGAACTCGCCAAATATTTCAAGTCTTATACTGATCGCTGGAGACTTAGCAATTTTCCATAAAAACTCGCGGCTCTTGCGCAAAGAACAGTCTATTGTTTTTAAAGTCGCCAGATAGTCTTGTGATTGTTGCTCAGTCAATTTCGATTGCTGTGACCCTGTTCCCCCTAGGGTTTGACCCTTAAAATGAACCCATTACAAATATAATTAATGGGCTCCTGCCCTTCAGTACTAATGAACCTGGTACCTTAGTTAAACATTAACAATATAGCAAAGTTTGGAACATAATTTTTTTTTTATTTGGGGCAAATAGATTTATTTTAATTCCTCAAAGTAGCGAGAAATACATTAATATGACATCATACCTTCAGCGAGTGAACTCAACAATCAACTGAACAATTTTGTTGGGAAGAGCCTCCTATGCTGGTCTCAGTGAGGAGTTCAGATCGAATAAAGAGTTCTAACTCTTCTACACGGTCTTTACAGTAATCACCGGTTTAATATAATTACTCATTAAAATACCTTTTCTACAAGACAATTGTTAAACTGTCTGATACATTTTTCACCTAGATTCCTTTCAACTTTCCAAATGAGTTTTACTTCAGAAAGACGGGATGCCTATGCAAGTTAATTCCACGGCCACCTAATTATTTTTGGGTCAAACAGAACCCGATATATTAATTTTTTCAGAGAAATGGCCAACAGTAGACAGCTTTGTTTGTTAATAATTACCTAGCGTCCTTGAACACAACAGCTGTCGTGGAAGGGAAAGGGAGCAATCTGCTTACACTAGCATGGCCAGCAATAAGAATTAGCTAAAATTCAGGGGAAACGGAATTATGGGAATTTTTTTTTCGGAATCAGTGCGAGGTCGACAGACCCGATTTTGGATTTGGGATCTGATTTGCCGGAAACTTACTCCCTCGGCCAAATCTCCTAACAACCACCTGTCAAATGAGGCTTTTTCGGCCTCTCTGAAGTTTGTCTCGTGGTATGCAATTTTTTTTTTCCGATGGAGAAACGGCGCAATCGAAATTTACCATCCATCACTGAAGGAAAATACTTTTTGTGACACCGATAAAAGCTTTTGTCTTTTAATAAGATTTTTAGCGTAAAAGCTGTGAGCTGAGCAGAAAGTATATAAGTTGTTGTATTTGAATAGAGCTGATGTACGTATGGATTTTTTGATTGATTGATTTATTCGTTAAATGGAAACCTTGTTTGACTTACTCGAGTTGTAAATTATACAGAGCTGATAATGTTGAATGTTCTGGATCGAAATGGCTCTGCCCTTTGAGGCCAAAAACGGTCCATTAAGAAGCCCTGGGGCCGATCGTGCAAAATTGCACGATTACTTTGACCTTTTCGGAAATTCTCGGATTACATCCGATCGCTCTGAAATTTCGGCTGTAGCATGTAAACATTCTAAGCCAATCACATGGTGAGTTTTAGCTCCGAACTATCAAACGTGACCTCGGGAGCCCGATCCGAAAATTATTTGCGTACGATTTCAGTCTGCGATAATGGCGTCCGATGCGAAACGCTAGAGATACAGCGTAGCTAAGGCTTTAGAGGTGATTTTTGACGATGGAAGTGAGCATGGTGGTATCTCTAGTGGTGAGGAATCCGAATTAGATAGAAAACTGGAAAATCCTAGCGAAGAATCGAGGTAAGTAGTCTGTAAACATTCTTGCGATATTTAAATGCGTGACGCATGTGGTGTTGAAACATTTACTTTTACTTTTCGCGCACGAATCCTTGTTTTTTGCCAATTGCGCCGTTGTAGCCCGCGCTTGGAATACAACAGCACGTTTGTTTTTGCCATACGTGATTGTTTAAGGGAAAATCTAAATATATGACAAAGCACTTGACGTATGTTCCCTCGGGAAACTAGTTAGTTTTGTTTTTTCTCGAGTCCTGATGTTTCCAAAATGTCTGGATAGAAGCAGATAAAAACATGTTTCCACAGTTCTTCTGTCGTCTTTAGTTCTTCAGTTCATTTAATTTAATATAACTTAATTTAATTTAGATTTTATTGAATCTAATTCATAATTTCATTTAATTTAAAACTTTCCTTGTAAATGCATACATTGTTCTGTTAATTACTATTGTTTGTTTTGTCCAATCAGCATTTTGTTACACAATTTAAATTCAACTTTGTACTTTGTATTATTCAAAACTGAAGATGACAGAAGAACTGTGGAAACATGTTTTTAAAAAGTGTCGTTCATTTTCTTGAATTCCCAATGTTTCCCGAGACGAGGAAAATAAAACTAGCTATTTCCATCGAGACCATACACTAAGTGTATAATGTATGCATGGTTATAAGCGACGCGTTTCTTAAAAGGCCTGATAGCTACTTCAGAGATGACCTGGCAAAAGAAAATAGCAGCTTCGAATCCAGCTTTTCTTATGAGAGAATCTTAAGGGGTAGGCATGACTGTTGACAACATAATTTGTTCCAACAGTTGACGGTTTAAATTGTGCAGGGGGAGGGGGACATATTACGGTCGAAATTTTATTTCATGAAAGACAGTTTATCACGAAGAACTAATCCTGCAAAATTTAATAGTTAAGCACTAAAACTGTAATCACCTCCCCTTCCTTTCAAAACAAAGTAGATCTATTCTTTACCTTGCTTGTTTACTATGCTCAGACCACAGCTACCACATGCGCAATCTCTATCGGCTCCTGGTATCATATGGCCAATATTTTTCTTTATACAGCTGCTAGATGTTTTGATTGTGGATTTTAAAGTTCGATCACTGAGCTTCAGGGAACTGATTTAAGGGCT